GAATAATTCAGATATATGATAGCGAAATGAAAAAAGAAACGCAGAAAACATCAATAGACTATTACCTAGCTTATTATTTTGCATATTTTCTATTTTACTCACCACTATCTTAACATACAATGTTTACTGTCAGTAAATACTAGTGTTTATATAATATTTGCCGCTTATAGTCAGAAATGTCCATGATATTTTGGGTTTACAAGTTACTTTCTGTCCAACAAAATGATGCAGCTTCGTATACCAAAAAATCGTAAAGCCGAGACCCATTACCTGCATAACAGGTTCCCCATACCTTTAGAAGCACGGGGACAACGCAGCTGTGCCATGTGAATCGAAACAAGCAAGAAAAATATCGTGATAGTGCTTACTCTAACTTTTACATTTGGAAACAGTAGAACGGTGCCGGGAATGCTAAGATACTGCCGCTTTGAAGCGACGGCATCGGAGCCTATCAGGTTGCTGAAGTGAGTCGACAAATGTCGACGTAGCAGCGTCTTCTGTTCTGGAATCTGGATGACGGCCGCCAGCGACTCCGCCGTAAACGTCGGCTCCAACACCTGAACGTCAACACGGTTTACGGCAAAAATGAGAACAGATAATGAGAAAAACCGGTTGCACCGACCATGAGAGCACCGTTGACACCGGCGCACATCAGGTTGGGAACGAACTCGGCCAAATCGATGAACCTCAGCCATTCGCTGACGCACTGCTGGGTCCAAAGCTTGACCGTAGCCGGACACGGAGCCTTGTTTAGAACGCTCTGCAAAAAAACGACAGACGAATCGATGAGCGAACAAATAATCAATACGACGGGGACTAACGGGTTCAAATTTCCGGCATAAACGGGTCAGGTTAAATCCAATCTGACGCAGAACCTGAATACTTCGACAGAACGTTGCGTGATGTAGCGCGCTGTTGATTTGTAGGTGCAGCAGATCGTCTACGGTTAGACAGTTCAGAACCAAACCATCAACACGGGCTTCGGCGAAAGCTTCGCGATACTGAGGCAAGCCAATATCTTCTAACCATCCTGAACACATATGTCAGTCATGTAATAGGCACAATATAATGCGTTATAACAACATCAGTAATCAAATATCAATGACAGTACAAACAGAAACGGAAGTTCAGTCACTTCTGCGAGATAGTTCAGAATTAGAAAAATCCCTTGAGGAATGATATTGCATATATAATCTATTATATACATATTCTCAAATGTTTAAGTCATGCTCGTCGGTCTTCAGCGACAGACATAAAACGTTCCACATTACGTTTCTCTTTGAAGACGAACATGATTTGAACATGATCCTAAG